ATGATAAATAGCGTTTTCTTCAAATTGGTTTAAATATTTGTTTTAGAAGTAGTGACATATTTAAGTTTAAATAAATATTATTTATTGATTCGATTTAAATACTTTTAGATTTCGTGGAAAACCCATTTCTCTGATGTATAAAACATACAGTAATTATTATTAATTTTCAATTTAAACATGGCATCTAGAAGAGTACACCAGTGCACAAGTTCTGGTGAGGGTATCAACCAGTCTCAGTCCACCACTAACCTCAATTGCTGGCATTTCTGTAATGTCAATCAAGTGATTGAGCTGTGAAACCTCAACTTTGGCCTGTTCACCAAATCTGCACATCATTCTCATGCTCATCCCAAGGTCCCACTGTTATCATTGTGTCATCATTCCCATCATCTTTATCGGGCAACTTGTCTTGTAAGCACTTTTCGGCTCGATTCCATCTCGAGTCAGCACAAAAATGTACTCTAACCTTTTCGCTTTCCCCAAATTCCCGTCTCTTTATCCAGTTGGGTGCCTAAAATTATGCAACATAAACTAAAAATTAAACAGTTTCGGTTTCTTAAGGGGGGTGGAGGGGTGGTTTTTTGTGGGGGAAAGAAGTAACCACAACCGCAAAACCAGACGTAAACACTTTTCCAAGAAATAGCAATGTCATCGCCTGGCTTCTCCCCCATTTGACCTTTTGTTGTTGATGATTATCGGCAAGTTTTTGAAAAAAACAGCAGCTGGCAGCCCATGAAATAGAGAGATAACAGGCACTCAACTTTCGCAGCGGTCAAAAAAATAGTAGTGGAGGTTAAAAGTTATATGAAGGTAAAATACAACTTTTAAAAGAGTGACTTAAAACATGATATTCATAAATTAAAATTGTGATACGTAGTCTTGTAAACAATTAATAGTTTATTCCATAGTGATTAATGTATTTGTGAATGTAATATTTGAAGAATAAGAAATAAATTATGCAAATTGGCAAGGAAGCTAAAAAAAAAAAGTATTACTATGCTTTTTTTTACATTTACTAAATGGTCTTTAATGTTTAACCGCAGACAGAGATGAATTCTAAACGCTGTGGAAATAGTTGTGGCAAAAGTTATGAAGAAGTTGACTTCACTCAAGTCTATCCCCCTCGCTTGCACACTCTCTCCCTCTCGCTCCCTCTCATCACATATTTATGATTCATTTCATTTCGCTTCGTACGTTTCGTGTTTTTTTATGGCAATGAGTTTGTGCATTTTTATTTTGCTCTTTTGGCAGTCACAGCTGCTGATTGCCTTTTCCTCGGCCACCGCTTTATCTGCCACTCCCACTGCTCTGCCCCGCCCCCTTTTAAGGATCCTAAAACCTAAGACCCAAAAACCTCATCCTTCGCAACCACTTGAGGACCATTTCCTACGCCATTCAGCGGATGAAAATCAGCTGAGGTCCTCCAAGATTTTAAGAACTTCACTTGAGAAGTTTAGAAAAGAGGAAATGGATGGTAGATGTCTGGCACAAGATGCTTTTCACTGAGAAAAATCAACTTTTCAAACGTACAAAACAATAAATCATAGACAAAATTCATAATAATTTGAATAATTTATGTCTAATTTATAATTGTACGTATGTATAAATTACAAAAATGTATTAATTAAAGGAATGTGAAATTTCTTGGTCAAAATAACGGAAATAAACTAAGCAATCTAAATTTTTTTTCTGGTGTATATTTTGGTAGTCGTTTAACATACGTATACATGTTATTGTAGTGAGTTGAGACGGGTAAATAAAACTAGAACATTCAAGGAAAAGTTTTTCAAATTGTCTTCTCTATCACATGCAAATTTTTATAGCATAACTTTTGGGTTCACATGTAAGAGTAAATGTAAAATCCCATATATTTATTATTATATTCACTTTTACAGAAGTTCTTTGCGTGCGTTGTGATCCAAGTTTGTTCAATAATTATCGATTGTGTTTGGTTTAAATATTTGAAATATTTAATATACACATGGCTTGATATTTAATAGGCATTCGGCTTTAATTGGATACTAAATGGAATAACTTTATTAAATTGACTTTTAATTGAAATGTTATTGTCTGCTATCCATTTCTCTATCATCACTTGCAGTTGTATGTTGCACCACAGATCTGATCGGTTTTCAAACCGCTTTCCCTCCATTTCCCTTCGCCTTTCTCCCGGCCCATTTCCCATTCTCCGCACCAGTGAACTGTTCTCCTTATCGATGGCAATTTCCCCTGCCTTGTTTTCGCTTTCCTTTTGCTTTTTCGGCATCGAACTAGAGAGAGTGAAGTGGAGGAAGAGGGTCTGGTCTGTCTGGACTGAGAGGGCCAATAAATAAAGGACGAGCTGCCTGCTTCCTTCCGGCCAAAATGGAAGGACTAGGTAAGCTACGGAGTCGGTTGCCTCGGGACCAAAAGCGGGCAATTAGAAAAAGTCGTAAAACAAACGATGGCCAAAATGGTTGCGCCTCCGCTTCCTTCCCCCCCTCCCCCCATCCCCCCGCTTTCCCTTAACCCTTGGCTGCCCATTATCCGCCGGATTTCGCCGTCTTATTCCCAAAAAGCCATTGCAATTGGGCAAATCCCCATGATCTATGGCAAAATGTTTGAAGAGATTGCTACCGGAATGTTTAATCGTTTATCGTTTCGATTTGCTTGGTCCCGCATTGAGAATTAAAAGGCAACAACATGGTTACCATATTATAGGCACTGAAAAAAATGTAATACATCCCAATTTAATCACAGATAAATCGAAATGATTTAATCCTATGTACAACAAAAGTACATACATTACTTTAAGGATGTGTTTACAAAAACAAGCACTTCATAAATGAATAGAAAGTGCAAGCTTTGTTTTTTTTATTAAAAGTTAATGGTGGGAGGATAAATGTTTTCAATTTAAGGACACGTTTTGCCTAAGTGCACCCATACCTGTGGCAGGATAAATAGCAAAGTGTGCTAAATAATTGAATAAGGACAATTGATTGATAGCCAAAAGCTTTTTATACCGGCGCATAGTTAACGAAGCGTAACAGGTAAAACTGGTGGGCAAGAGGGGGGGAAAATGGAAGGAAAATCGAAGGAAAAGGGAGGGAAAACGCAGGTAAGGAAGCAGGAGCAGAGGCCAAGAAAGTGCAGACAACCGAATTGACTCCTTTGAGTGAAGCAGAGGGACCAGGACCTCCTGCGCACATGTCCTCGAGCAATGCAATGCAAGACAAAATCAGCTTAGCACACTGGCAAGCAATGAGGAGCGGAAACGGAAGAGGGGGAAAAATCCGAGAGGAGGGGGTGGCGGAAACCAAACATCAGCCAACCAAGTAAGTCAACTCTGCGTTTTTCCCTTCGCCCCAAAACAAAAAAAAACCATGTGGGTACGAAAAACGACGGATGGGAAGACTCCCGCAGGCAGAAAAGCCACCGAATGCAGCATAGCTAAAATCAAGTTCAAGCCAGACAAAGTTTGCCTGTCAATTTTCGGTAGATTTTTCCCCAGAAAGAAGGGGGCTAAATATTTAAAGGTGATTCGCATAGGGATTGTGTGTGGGATTTGTGGGGAAAACGCTGTGGAAAACACTTCAATTAGTGGCCTAAAGGTCAACCCTCATATGTAATCACAATCAAACAGTTTGAGTTTCGAACAATGCAATTGTTTTAAAGTCGATCGGCTTTCTGTGATAACCCCTTATGGGTTTTATGTTACACAAAAATAAAAAAACATCTGAAATATTTAATACACGATTTAAACTTTCTTCAACTTAATAATAAAAGCCAAGACATATTTTAAATCATTAACACATAGTGCTCAAAGCTATTAGCATTAGTAGTACGAACATAAAATATTTTATTATTCAAGCATTTCTATGCTGAATATAAAAAAATATAACAAAATAAAAAAACATTTAAAATTAAGTCTCCAAAGATTTGTCACTTTTTTTTTTAAAGAAAAACCTTTTAAATCTGTTTCCTCTCACCAAAACGTGTGAATATTTGGTAAAGTCAGGAAAATGGTGTGAAAATGGGGGGTTGGATGGATAAACCCCAGGAAGAGACTGAAGCCAGGATAAACTGCCAGTGCCAGAATCTCGGGTTTCTTCATCGGATCTCTGTGGCTGTGGCTGTTTTTCGCCTGTCTCAGTGCGAATTTTCCATCGCTTCAGTTTCTGGTGCTCTGGCGTTGATTCTATTTCACCACCACCACCCGCTTTTCCTTTTTCCCATCTTGTCTGTTTTGTGCACGCTCGATGTCATGCGGAAATTGAATAGTTTCCGGTATTGAACAATGATTACTTATGCTCTGCTCTATGCCCCAAAAACTTTGACCCCGAACATCAGCAGAACTTTCAATTCAGAATCGATACCGCAAAGCAGCAAAGTTTCCAGTTTATCTAAAATGGTCAAATTGGAAATAGGAATATCAATATTTAAAAAACTATTTTCTACGCTTTAACGTTTATGTATTAAATATTTAATAATTTTTTTTTTTTGGGTCTTTAACTTATTTTTGCTAAAATTGATTATTAGAATATTCAAACTTCGTTTTCTCTCACCGACAATTGCAATATTTAAGGTTTTTCCACGCCATTGCCTGGTATATATGCGGAAAAAGTTTCGCCAAGGACATTTTCGTAGCCAGGATAGGTGGTGATTGGTGGGTGGATTTTTCTAGGACAGAACATGATAATTGAAAGCATTGGGGCGTTGTCATTTGAGCATTTGTCCGAGCGCAGAAAACTTTTTGCCAAGACATGGCAGATCCCTCACCTTTTATATCCTGCCCCCCGTTTTGCCCTCTATCACCTTGTCCTGTTTTCCATTTGTCCGCTTCTATCGCCAAATTGAAGCTTATTGTTGGATTGTTGGCAACTGTCAGCGGCACTTTCTCACTCTGCCACTTGCGTCAGTATTTCTGCCACGCCATCGCACTCTTACCTTCTAGAGTTCTATCTACTTTTTGCTGGACAAAACTTTTTATCCATGATATTGCACTAAGGAGCAGGACAAAACACGAAGCGGTATCTTCAAATCATCCATTTGCAACTCACCTAAAAGCAAAAGAGACGGAAAATACATGAGTACACTGGGAAAAATAACATTTCTCTAGTAAAAGAGAGATTGTGTAAACATATTATCATTAATAATACTGATAAATATATTTTAGACTTATAAATTGAATTAGTTTTTAATTTACCCAAGAATTGTAAAACTAGAAATGAAAAAGAATGAAAATGAACAAGAATGAAAATGAACAATAATGAAAATGAACAATAATGAAAATGAACAAGAATGAAAATGAACAAGAATGAAAATGAACAAGAATGAAAATGAACACATTTTTCCCCATTATAGTGCAGAGAATTAAGAATGCTAAATTGTCAGTGTATCTGCGAGCAGCAGGCGCGTGTTTTCCATATAAAGAGGCTGCTTTGCATTGCAATTGGTGGTTATAAATTATGACCGGCCTCCCAGACATGACAGATGTATTACGCCAAAAGTGGGGAAAAGTGGAGGGAAAACCGTTTATCAGCATGTAAAGAAAATGCCCCATGTGCAGACATCGCGACTGGATGTTCAACGGAAATAAGCGATAATTGTTGCGACAGTGAGAAATTATTAAAAACTGCACTTTCCGCTCATATGAAGCATGAACGGAATGATTTAAATGTAAATTATAAAATACTATACATTCATTTTGAAAAAGTAAAAATAATTGGTGGCACTAAGGCAACATTCTCTATTTATTTACTTTAAGACCTTTATTGCTCTCTTGTACCATAAATTATGATGTATCCCAAATAAATACAGGAGTCTGTGCATTTGTGGCAACTAGAGTTCACTTAACAGAACTAGCTCAACTTTGCGATAATTACAAACACCCGAGGGACAGGCGGCACCGCAACTCCCGCAAAATTATTTTAATTTCCACAGCAGGCCAACTTGCAACTTGCCAACCACCCCACTCCCCACTCCCCTTTCCACACTCCACACTTTTTGGGGCAACCCGCACGTGATGAGCCTGCGGCAAGTTGAAAGCCAAGAAGTGCTACCCATTCCTTCGCCCGCAAAATGTGCCTTTGTTTACCTAAAAAGTTAAGCAATTTATTATTAAGAAAAACTTTTACACCCGAAAGTGGAACGGGGGATAAGGCAAAGGTTATGGCCCTCATGTTTCTGGCCAAACGAGAATTGCGTATGATAAATGGGGGATATTAAATAAAGTGCATAACAAGCCAAGGACAATCCCAATCGAAAGCAATTTATGGAAGCAGAAAAAATCGCAGTCAAATAAAAAAACACAAAATATAAAAATGAATTTCGGTTTTCTGTTACTTTTTAAGGAGTAATTTTTAAATTTCTTAAAATGGAGATCCAGATCGATTCTAACGATTCTTTGGCTAATTTTACAGTTCTTTGGATATTTGTTTATTTTTGAAGGCATAAATTAAGGCCTTAGATCTAAAGACTTTACGCGCTGATGAATTTGGCTAAGCAATTTTATAAAATGTTAGGTAAAAAAACTTTTCTTAATGCAATTTTAATTGACTTTGTAAACTTTGTTAATGATTTCAAAACTTTTTAATATCTTTGCTCTAGTTCAAGCTCTTTCTCACTAATCTATGCACAGTTGCATTTGTATTTCTATTTATATTTCAATCAAGAAAAGCAACAGTAATGGAAATCAACAAACGGAAGTGGGAAAAATTAGCGTTTGTAAATAAATAAGCGAGTCTCATATGAAATTCATCGGCTTAATTTGTCTCTCTGTCTCTTTCCCCTATTGACTTTCCCTCTCTTTCAAATTATTTAACCCAGCGAAATAGCAAAACAAAAAATAAAAAAAAAAAGTAACTAGAAGTCAGGGCGCACATTGAAAATCAAGTAATTAATTTCACACGGAATAAGTTTGCAAAGTTAATTGGCTTAGTGCTGGCTTTTGACTGACTCTAACTAGTTAGTCGCAAAAAAATAATAACAAATTGAGTTCTACGACTGTCGAATACTTAGTGCTCCACATTTTTGATCTCTTTATTGGGTTTTGCAACGTGAAAATGGTTTTTGTATTCATTACAAAGAATTATGACAAAATAAATTGGTAGAAATAATTGTCTACTTATTTTGGATTTTGTTTATAATTGTTAGTTTAAATTGACAACTTTAAGTTTAAGTTTGATTATCTGATTAAAAAATAGCATAGATATAAACTGAACTAATTTTGATTAAATGTTAATCAAATGTATTCGAGATATCTTTGCATACATCCTTTTTTATAAATGCACTTTCATTTTAAGCAATTTTATAGATATTTTTATGTTATTATATGTTTACTATTTTGTATTTTATTTTTGTTTTTTATTTTTGTATTTCATTGTTGTATTTTATTTTTGTATTATATTATCCCAATGGGTACCAAACCGTTTGGAAGAAAGGTCTCAACTAGTCGGAGTGTGGATTATTTAATAAGCATTAAACATTCACCTTTCGTCCGGCATCTTTTTCTATGAACATTTGCATGTGTGAATTTACCCTCACCCTCGTTGAAATGCATTAGAGAAAAAACGCGATTTACATGGGATTTACTAAGGGTAGGTCGTGTGGACGGGGTCGGGGATTAGGAGGTGAATTCTATAATTGTTATGCCACAAAATGAAGTTTATTTTCGCAACGTCTGCCTGGTGCATGTGCAGTTTATTTCATTTGATTTCCCAGCGCCATTAAAACTATGTTAATTATTTTAATCTGTAATCTGTTTTTGTCGTAATGCCCGAGGGCTCAAAATTGTTAGATGATATTGTCTCTGTAATTGACTGACGGCGAATTACGGCCCAGCGACCCGTATTTAATTAAATGCGCTAAGAGTTTAAAAAGCTGCGAATAATTGATTTTAAAGTTGGTTGCGGTTTTTTTTTTAATGCATTTTGTTGTCAAATTCAATTATAAATATTAAAGTTGATTTTTTCTTAGCTTTACAAATTTATGTATACATGGATAATTTTGTCGTTATTGCCGTTAATAATAGGAGTTTTTTAATGAAAAAATTCTATGTATAAGAAAATTATTGATATTGATAATTAAATGACATGACAAAGGGATATTAATATCTGGAAGTCATTGATCAATTTCGCTTAGTAATGACTAATGAATAATGTCCGCGTTTTTTAAAAACTTTTTATGTTTTCCCATTAGCATAAGTCTACAAGGCATTTCCAACCAGAGAGAAAAGCTAAAACCGGCTCAAAAATTACGGTTAGAATCGGTTCGAACTGGTGCCAACTAGTTTTGAGTCATAAACGAAAGCTATTAAACACCCAGTTATAGAAAATATAGAAAAACGTCAACAGAAGGCGGCCAAATGTTATATATGCAAATGGCGAGCAAACAAAACGTGACAAATTTAATTGGGAAACACCCACCCACCAAAAAAAAATAAAAGGCATACATACATACATAAACTCGCACACGCCAACAACACACGAGTTTTCCCAAATGAAAATTTTCCTGCGGCTAAATCGAACCGAAACCGAAAGCAACTGCATTTCAGTGGGAAAAAAAAGGGTTACAAAGCGCGAATTCGTGTTTGCCGCCCAGCGTGACAATGCAGGAAAATGATTAGCTAGATAGCTCTAATAAAAGCGAGAAAAGCGGAAAAACGTGAGCCCAACACCACAGAAATTCTCACGTAAATTGAATTTTTGCAATGGTACGGCTTTCGTTTATTCTTCTGTAATTGCGAAAATTACACGGTAAGGGCAAATGAAAACTTAACCCAAACCCATATGATTTATTGCAACGAACATTTTGCAAGCCGAAAAATAAAAGAAAAATCAGATACCAAAATAATTTATTTAAGAACTTAAACACAATTGAAAACACTGTAAGTACCATATTAACAAGGAGAATACAAATAATGCAGCATTAAAATTATCAGTTTGTACAGAATAAAATATTGACAAGATAATAAAGGTAATGCCTTTTAATAATATATGCAACTTACACATATATAAGTCCAAATTTAAATGTTTACTTAAATTCACTTTTAGTGTACACCTTAATTGATCTATATGAATGTATATATGCCAAATTATAAATTTAAAATATTAATAGGTTCAATATTAAATAGATTCGCCCATTTATTGAATTTACTTACATTAAATCTTGTGAATATATATACACGTTCAATCAAAAATAATTACATTCTTTCTTAATATGTTTTATTAAATTAATTAATTTATAAGCTATATTTTTGAACCAAATGTAGATTTAAAATAATACAAATAAATTTACTGATTAAAATGCAAACATATTCATATCAATTTACATTTCATATTCAACTGCTGGATCTTTGTGGCGAACATATTTTCGCTCAGTGTATACCTGTTTGACGTGCGCGCGTCGCTCAAATTGAATGCCCCCAGGATTGTGATCGGCAATGCCCATCGTAATATCTGGTGTGGTATTTGTAGGGTTGTTGATGGTGCTTTCTGGGTTCTTGGCTGGATTTTTGGTGGCTGCCGTAAGGGGCGCAGCTGCTGGCAATGAAATCGAGTCAACATTTCCCTCCATTAGGGCCTCGGCCGCTTGAAGAATTCGCGGTCCGGCACTTGAACTGCTTGTACTACTTGCCGGTACACTACTTGGCCCGCTGTCATTGGTCAAACCGATTTCGATGACAATTTTATTCGGTTTTTGTTGCTGCTGCTGTTGCTGCTGCAACTGCAGTTGCTGCTGCTGCAGTTGGCGCTGCAGGTTCTTCGGATGAGTGGCCGCCTGAATGTAGTTGAGATCGCTGCGGGACAGATGATGCTGCTGCAGCGTCGAATATTGCTGCTCGACGAGGGCCGCCCGCGTTTGGGCCGCCTGGTGACCTCCATTGGCTGCCGCCGAATCGCTGGCCACCTTCTCGCGCAGCTTCACAATGTTCGATATGTTGATGCTATTTGTCAGCGTGATGCCCGTGATGCAGACCAGGATGATGGTCAGCACGACGCCGCAGATGACCAGGGTGGGCATGCGGAAGCATTTCCGGCTGCACATGGTCACCTTGGGTAGGCGATTACGGCCAACTTCGGTGCTCCAACTCGCCCGGTGAGTTCAGGAAGTCTTTGGGTTTTAAATAAATGTTTTCTATTTACTGCAATATTTCCATGTTTATTTATTTATTAACTATTATTGGTTATTATTTTTATTTTTCTTATTAATAATTATGTTTTATTTTTATTCTTGATTCTTATGTTGTATTTTTATTATAAAAAAAAGGTTTTTGTATTATTATATTTTCTTTTTTTTGTATTATTATATATTTTTTTTTTTTTGTATTATTATATTTTCTTTTTGTTTGTATTGATTTATATTATTATTTTTGTTGGTTTGAATGGTTTTTGTAGGTAATTTTTTGTATGTATATTTGTTTTGTGTTTTTCTTATTTTCTTTGTTGGGGTCCAAGTCTAATGTATTGTAGTTTCATTTAGTTGTAATTATTTTTTATATTCTATATATTATTGTTATTACTTTTGTCTTGTTTTTATAAAATTACTTGTTACTTTTTATTATTGTGTAACTTCAGGCTTATTTTATTTTTATGTTAAGCAATTTCCGCGAAGATTTCAGCAAATATTTAAAAACGATTTCTTCTATCTTTGTTTGTGTCCAACTCACGAGATTTTCAACAAATATTTGTTAAGCAATTTTCAGTTTGTTGCCAACTCGCGAGAGCGCCACACAAATGTTTGTTATGTATTTTTTACTTTATTTTCATTTAGCTGTGTTTACTTTAGCGATCGTCGTGCTTTTTGTGCGCATTTCGAACTGCTCGCTTCTGCAGTTGAAATGCGAATGCAGTGCAGCAGTCGTCGGCCACTGCTTGTGCGATTCCAGTTTCGAATTTAACGTGTTCAGCCAACCTTGCGTTACGCGATGGCGGATTTGCCTTACGTATTACGTTAGCTGCTCTTTTTGGGCCCATGTGATATATGTTTGTCAAAAGTAATTGTATTATTTTGTAATAAATTATAATTTATTTAAATTTTTTGAAAAAGTTTGATCTCTTGTCATCAGTTGCTTGATCGGTCAACTTGAGTGCAAGCAGTTTTGAGTTTCCATGGGTTATTGTTAAAATTTTGGGTTGGTGTCTTCGCTTGTCATTGGAGTTGTTGTTGTTTCTGTGGTGTCTATGTATTCTTTGTTGTTGTTGTGATTTCTGATCGTGGTTTTGTTGTTGTAATTTACTTTTGACTTTGTTTTTCTTTGGCCTTTGGCTTAGGTTTTTTGTTGTGATTTGTGCTCTTGATAATGTTATTGTAATTGTTTTTTCTGATTTTAGTTTTGTGTTGTTTATGTGCCTTTGAGTTTTTAGTTTTTGGTTTGGAGTCTTGCCTTTGAATTCATTTATTGTACCGTGCAATGATATTGTTGTTGTAATTTGTGGCTGCGATTTTGCTGTTGACATTTATAGTTGACTTTATTTATAACTTTTGTTTGATTTGTTTTGTTTTCGTTGTAGATTTTGTGATTGGTGATAGTTTTTGATTTGTGTTTTTTGTGCTTTCGTTGTAGATTAGATTTGCTGATAAAAGTTGTTTTTTGTTTTTTTTTTAATAATAATCAATTTATGATTATTTATGGCCGATTTATTGTTGAAACATTAGAGTTATTGTGGGATCATTTGTTCAGTATAGGTTGTCTCGTTTAACTCTTTTATTTTGACTTAATTGTGTTTTAAGTGTTTAGTTTAAAATTTAATTTGTTACTATTTTATTATTATTATTCAGATGTTACCCTTTAATTTGGCTTTTTTCAGGCTTGTTGTTTAGTTTTGTTAATTTAAAATTTTTTCAAATTTATATATATTTTTTTTTGTAATGTGCGAAATAGGTTTTTAAATTACATTTTTATGTCAATTTCGGCTTTAAGTCAAAGTTTTTGTACATCAGTTTAATCTGCTGTGACGTAGCTTTTATTTCTTTGTTGTTACGCTTTAAGCGATATCTATGTTGTCTTTATTTGCTCGAACCTTTTAAATTGGGTTTGTGATTTATTTTATTGCAGTCGGTTTTTGTTTGCATCTTGTTTGTTTTTGCACTGGCTTGCTGTTTATTTTTCCAAAAATACGCAAATGCACACAGAAAAAAAATAAAACGTAGCTCGTTAACATTTTAATGTTCTCATGCAGTTGCGGTTGTTGTTGTTTTCGAGGTGTGGCAAAAGGCAATGAAATCATTTATTTTCGTGCAGTGATCGCTGGCAAATTGAATTTGTGAATGCTTTCTGGGTGTGTGACACACTTTAAACGTTTTCAACTTATTGATAATAAAAGCAATTAAAATGCGAAATTCTTTAGACAAATGGCTGGGTGAAATAAATTGTAATTTTGCTTTCTGGGTTAACAAATACATTTCTTAAATCTTTAAGATTTGTTTTTGAATTAATTACTGCTTTGATGGCTAAACATTTTCCAATATAAGTAATAGATGTAGTTCCCATTTCTAATTGATTTCTCTACTACATCTTTATTGATCTATCGATTATATTAACTCATAATTCGCCACCCGTAAAATGTTAATGAAATGTTCGCCACTCCTTTCACTTTTTTTTTCCTTTCACCACCATTCCTATTTCCTGAACTGTTCAACCTTGACTATATCTTGGCTCTCACTTTCTAGGCAGCCGGTTGAGTCGTGATGCCAATGTAATACCCTGATATTCCCAAAAGGCTTAAAAGACAAAGGGATATTAGACAGCTGCTTGTCCCTCCTTCTTCAGCACATGCATTCGAATACCCTTTATTGTAAGGAAGAGTGCCTAATTTTAGTTACATTTCATATCATAATTATATTATTTTAATTATATTCATCCTTCAGGGGATAATATTTACTGACAAGGAAGGAAGTTAAGGCAGTTAAAACGTGAAATTTTTATTTTTATAGGCATTACTGTTAAAAACCGGTTTCTTATTAAATCATACAAATTTACTGACTTGTAAAAATAATTTTAATAATTCTAATTTTTTATTCCAGAGTATTTCCCACTCGTTTCAAATATGTTTCTGCTGGTTTCTTCGCTTTTCTGCCTTTGTGTGGTATTTCTTTTTTTGGAGGAGGATTTAAGCATTCATTTCATGGGATCTGCACACGCGTCTTGAGTTCCGTGGGGAAAAGGGGGGGCGGTGGGTGGTTGCCGGTGGCAAGGGGACACTTTGCGGATTTAATTGAGCCGACACGCACGCACACACAATAGTCCCCACACACTCATACACTCACACACACACACACACACATAGGCCATACACATAGAAACTTGGCAGAAATTTCATTTAATTGCATATTAACGCCTGTTGCCTAGACGAATTTATTTCGTTTCTTCTCGTCTTGGTCTTGAGCCGCTTTATTTTTTCTTTTGTTTCGCAAAAACAAAAAAAAAAGAAACACCGCCCCGTGCTTTTTTTTCGCTATTTATTTCAATTAATGAAGCTGCGTCTTTTGTCGCTTAATTAATTCCAAACAAAAGGGCACTCAACACATTTTTTTCGGGGCGGCCGAAAAAGAGTGGAAAACTGTGCGCATTTTGGGGCATTAACGGATTACATTTTCAATTAACATGTTGAGGCATTTCAATTAGTTGTAATTTGTGACAAATTGCTGTGCGTGTGATTCAGAAAGGGGAAACAGCAAGTTTTCAATGGCAAAGAGAAGCATTTGGATTTGACGAAAAGCTAAAAAAAACTATTCAGATTTTTTGGAAACAAAGTGAGAACTGTTTTGGTGATTGAAAATTACCTGGATACGTACAACAAATACCTGACTTTGACCAGAAAGTGGCAACTGTTTTTGGTTTGTAAATACTAGTATTTTTATTTAAAAATTTAAAATTTCCAATAGGATACTTAAAACGCTCTTCACGACACCAATCAAAATTAAATACTAGTAAATCAAAAAGCCCCTTAGATATTACAAAATGTAAAGCGATGCAGGGTAAAAAAGGTAATTTTAGGAACATTATATTCAGGAAAATTACCCTTGCACAAAGATGTATGTCGGCCATTTATGCGTGGTAAATTGCATAATAACAAGATCCATCAAGAATGAGACCAAAAAAAAAAAAGAAAAAAAAAACTTGCATGCAGGCTGCTGCAGCTGAAGATATACGAACTGAACGATGTGCGGCAATCTTTGGCGTTTCATCTTAATTATTTTCAACAGCTTTTCATAAAATTGCGGCTCAAGGCGAACGGCAAACAGATTGCATTACAACAAGATGCACGGGAACGAAGCAGCACTTTTGAAAATCGGGGAGAGCGGAAAATCGAGGCGGGAAAACTTTATTAAATTTGCGCAAGTAAATTGCAATTTATTCCCAGTTTCACCTCTCCTTCTTCTTTCCCTGGGCAAATAGTCAATTTAAATTGGTTAAGGCAGAAAACGGTGCGTATGCGTAATGGCCGTATGACCGACGGTGCGTATACTTGATTAGGAAAGACAGGGCGTTTTTGCAAGTTGTTAAAAATCTTAGTAATAGCCTCAACCTCGTTTGGTGTCCTTTTTTGTACCAATTTTATACCTTATTTTTCTTTAAATGGCATCCTTTAAACTCTAAGTTTTATAGTCAATATTCAGTTGTATTTCGTTCTTAAGTTACTGCCATGAAATTGGACTTGGTTAGAGCTGCAGCTCGTGTTTCCTTTGCCATTTTGCACCAAAACATTTTGCTTGCCTACGAACGCATTATTTTGTCATTTGCATTTGCATTTGCTTTCTCTCTTTTTTTCCCATTTTTTTTTTTCCTATTTTGGTGCCACAGAAAAATGTTCTTTTTGGGGGAGATTCGTTTTTCTTTTTTTTTTTTGTGTTCGCTTTTCCTCTGCTGCTGTTTTGCGCTTTGTTTCTTGCATTTTTTCCCGCAGGCTGGGCAGATGTTTTCCTTTGGCTGCATTCAAATCCCAAACGCAAATCCAATCCCAAGGCTCCGGCTACGACTCGTCGGTGCTAGAGTGTCCTTGGGCCAAGTCGAAGTTGCGGAGGCTCTCGGTTCCTTTTTCGGCCTGTCAGATTCCGCACAAATCGAGTTAACTTCTCGGCACCGAAAAACGAAACACGAAAAGGGAAATACAAATTCTCATTCTGCATGCAATCCCGTGAACCGTGACCCGTGACCCATGACCCCCCACTCATTCATTCATTCTGCCCCGCCTTTGGCTAA